TGAATAGTGTATGTTTTTTTTCGAAGAAGCTACTTTTTCATCATTATCGATAAGACCATCAACAAAAGCCCTTCACACTGCTTTTAACATCGGTCAAACCTAGGGAACTAATTATAAGGCAGGTCTGAAGCAGGTCTAAAAATAGGGTATGGAAGTTTTGGTCAGGTCATAAGTAGGGTAGGGAAAATTGCAGATTTTGGTCATAAATAGGGTCAGGGTTTTAGGAAGCAGGCCGCCTATCCCCACCAATTTTTCTGGGAGTACCCCCCGGGCTGTATATATTCACCACCAAAGTAAACCCGAACGCAAAATGCATACATAAGACCCTGTAAAAGGCAATGTGGTTTAATATTACATGCTAACATTACTTTTTCCTTGACATTTTCTATCTCTCAAAGTCTCTCGATGTGGACGAAGAGGAGATGTTGGACGCGGTAAGTCTCTTGTCTTTGCTTCAAAGATATTTTTGAAGATTGTACATATTTAGTTGAGTCTTTGTGATAGGTTGATTCGTTCCTCTCTATTCCCTTGATTGTCTTCATATTAAAAAATAGCACATTTTCCATAATTGATCACGGATAATGTACACAAAAATAAGCAATGAATGTGCATGTTTATTATTTATCCAAATTTCCGGAATTTCTTGTTCGATCGGAAAACTGTTTATCACTCTTATTTGTCGTTTATTCACAATTTGTGCTTATTTTTTCAAGGTTTATTTACAAGTTTTTTTAAATTTCCATTGCAGCTTGAAGCTGTGAGCAGAAAGGAACACTCCATAGACATTGAAGGCGCTCAGCAAGCCATTCAGTTAGTACCGACAATAACAGATTAATGAGGATTTTAATATTCTTTCTGAGCATTTCTTCAGGATAATATCAATTAATCAAGATAAGGAAGTGAAAACACTTACCTTAAGACAAGTGCTTGTGTTTAGGAAGACTACGAGTAATCCCTCTTTCGCTTAATCCGTCGTGCGAGACGGGAAAGAAAACCGCGAGAAAAAGATAGCCGCGCGAAATCCTGGAGCATTCTCCTTTTGCGCGCTCCTCGCCCCCAGGATTTCGCGCGGCTATTTTTCTCCCGCAGTTTTCTTTCGGGTCACGCACGACGAACTGAGCGAAAGAGGGACTACTCGTAGTCTAATGTTTAGGATCAGTTAATACGTCATGTTATGGAAAAATGACGAAACCCCGGGGCATCTTGCTGGAGTCAATCTTTCTTGGTGAAGTCACAACTGACGGAGTGCTCGCATTAGTCAAATCAGTAAATCTTTTCCCTTCTCGTATAAGGATTTGGCCCCAATCGATATAACTTGAACGTTTTATTTTCCTCAGTGTCTTCTCAGACTTTGGTCCCCAAACAGAGAATTCAACAAGAAATGACTAAAACACTGCAATGGTTTGGTTCCACACTCTCTCCGGCCACACGAGCAAAGCGACGCATTTCTATCGTTTTGACCAGTGATCCGACATTTCCATGTCTTTTTTTTCTTTTGCAGTGATACAGTTCAAAATGTTAGAGAAACCGCGGACAAATTGAAGATGATGAACAAAAAGATGATCGATTTATCAAAGGCAGGAGAAGCTACGGAGGACTTGGAACAGTATGTTTCAATTATATGGTCTGGTTTAAATTATATAATCCAGGTGTAAACATCGTGACTCATGGGCTGTATCGGGGATGTGCGGCCCCAAAGTGCATGGTGTTTCAGCCATTTTGGTCATATTTCACATGTACAACTCTTGCCAATTTTCTTTCCTAATCATAAAAATTACAATTTCCTCGATTGTGATTGGTTTAAAAAACTCCTATTTTCCACTAATTCACTTACCAAGTTGTCAAGGGACAGTTTGGTATGTAAATGCAATGTAAATGCAATTTAGTATCGGACAGTTTGGTATCAGACAGTTTGGTATCCCTACTATCGGACAGTTCATTAAGCCAATCGCATTCAAAGTTGCAGTTTAAATCGACCAATCACATTCAAAGTTGTAGTTCAAATCAACCAATCTCAATTTCAGAGCGACATTAAACAATTCACGCCTCCATTGTTAGTCTTTTAATGCAAATTTTCCCTTTCTTTCATAACTTGGCTATTCTTCTTTTCTCGGAAATTGTAATTTTTATGATTAATTGGTAATAAGACTTCGTGTCGTCCAATTCCTTCTGTAATCATACTAGTGATAAACAAATCGGACTCGTCCTATTTTGTTACCACTCGTAATTGCAGACCGAATTGGACTCCGCTCAGCCCTATTACCATTACTTATCAGACACATTTCTTTTCCAGAGAAAAGCGACAACTGGAAAGAGAGCTGCAGATGTACAAGAAAATGGCAGTACAGCAAAGAAAAGACATTTTCAACAGTAAGACCAAAGCATTTTGCTACAATGAGAAAGAAGCAAAAGAAACCTCTGATTGTTGGAGGATCTTTCAAATTTTCTCGATAAGCTTCCAAGATTCGGACAACGAGAGTATTGGGCAAATCATCTGAGAAGCGCGCGTAGTTTTAGCAGCTCACTATAAAAAAGCTTTCACTCATATAAATTTGTAGATTGTGTGGCGGTATGTATGTGGATTGAATCCCGCGCTTTTTGTTCATTTCCGCAGGGAGATCAAGTATTCGAAGAGATGACACTCAACAGTGGAAACTTGTGGCAGGTGAAATGGTCGATATATTAAACACAGTGCGTCACGCAGGAAAGCTAGGTAAGACAGCACATAACAAGTAGTGTACTGTATTCCTTCCATAGTTAAAAAAATCTGTTAAACTTTTTCATTTCCTCGCCAGTCATACCCAAAGATCACGTGCCCATTTCTATTCGTGGAATAACCCTGCCGGGTGTTCCCAGCTGTCTTATCAAATCACTGAAAATTGTCAACGTGTGATGTTTTTAT